TGTGTGTATGCGTGTGTGTGTGTGTATGTGTGTCTGTATGCGTGTGTGTGTATGTGTGCCTGTGTGTGCGTACGTGCCTGTGTGTGTGTGTGTGTGCGTGTTTCTTGTGTAAGCTGAAAGACGCGAAAAATTATTGAAATATCTATTGCTCCAAGGGTTCAGGGGATCTCGTAGTCGAGCAGTCTCGACTAGAGCTTTCTTACTTGTTTGTATATAAAGTTTTTTGTGTCCGTTTAATATATCTGTTTCTTGAAGGCCTTCCAGCCGATTGATAAATTATCGAAAATGCAGTTTAGCGTGTGCCACGGACACAATGGAAATTGAGATTAATAATCAAAAATATCTACTGCGTTGGCGATTAACGATCCCCGATGCCCGTTTACCGTCTAATGCCGCATAATTAATGATCGCGCTGGAAAGCGATGAAAATTTGTCGGCAAATCCAATGGGTCAATGGAAAAGACAACACAAATCAACAAATACGTCTTCAAAGCTGGTTTTTACGGTTGAGTTGGAGATTAGAGTTGAATATGTTACAAGTGAAGTTACTACATATATTATATTATTTACTTTCATCAGAATATTTACTATTCGAATATGAATTGAATTTCTATGAATATTCAGCTGCAAACTGCAATTTGAGATATTTTAGATTAGTGAATAAGAATATATAATAAATTATTGAATATATTTTGTTGAAAAATTTGTACAGTCGAGTCACGATAATTTGTACCCCGCTGAATCGAAAATCGCGAAAAATAAAAAATTCTATTCCCTTGAAAAATAAATCATTCTCGATAATTCTGGATTTCTGAAAAAACTAACTGATCCCCATGCCGTTTCGAATTTTTTACCTGTATACTAAATAAATTTAATTTAACAAAATATTTAAGTACATTCAATTCTACGTTTATCATATAAATCATAATTGGACATTAAATAAAATTATAATAAATAAATACACTGAAACGGGAAAAGTGGTCGATTACTTCTAACTGAAATTCGCGATCTACACAGGAACCTACAAAAAACGTAAAGCCTTTGCTTTTTTAAGTTTAGACTGATTATCAGAAAGTCGGACGCTTAAACTAACTGTGCTGGATCTCCTCAGCTCCTCCTGCTGATCAAGAATATATTCACATAAATACAGTGCTACATATATGCTAGTATTATATTATAGTGTATCATACCATGAATACCCAATTTTAAAAAATTAACTAAACTCTGAAAGCTAAATATAATATTTTATTTCGTTTACAAATAGTTTCTTATCGAAATTAAAAATCAAAAAGAAAAAAACTGAAAATAA